TATATATTTATTTATTTATTTATTTATTTATTTATTTATAGTTTTATGCTTTCGTAAATCTTCCTTTTCATGCTGTAAAAAATTTAAGAAGTTCAAGATGTTGCGGACGTTTAACTGAAGAATATTTAGGTATTATTCAGAATTAATGAGCTATTACGTAAACAGGTTTTATCGCAGATATATAATTTTAGAACTTCACATCACCTAGGTTTTGCGTTAATTTGGTTGTTTCAAAACTGCTGAACACAATTTAGTGTTTTTAACAGTTTTGTATTTCAGAAGGACTTGTTTTCGACTGGATGCATGGATGTGGGCCTCATAACAAGAAAATGATAATTGCTGAATCATTCGATTTTGCTGCTGATGAAGCTCTGCAAGAGAAGGAGGTATTTGAATTTCTGGTCGTTGAAACAAAGTTGATTGGGATAATTCTTCTAACACTTATTTTAAATAGTTTTGGAATATGAATCTTATAACATTTCCAAACAGGTATATATTCTCAGAGTGGTGTATGCAAATATCGAAGTCTTCCTGATGGAACTGATGAGAAGCTGGTGGCAAGGGGTAAAACAGCGAGCATTATTTCTCTTCCTGCTGGTGTGATTCAAAGAAGCTTTATTACAGACTTCGAGATTAATGATGTTGGTCTTTTTCTAGCTATAAGGCGTATTTCCGTCTTCGGCAGCGCAGCTTAAATTTTATTTTTGTCTTTTGAAAAGTTTTGGACTGAGTTGGTGTGTTTTTAAGCCAAAACAGCATTTGAAGGTTTTTACTTATTTGTTTTTAATTTATTTTTTATTGATTCTCAGCAACATAACAGTTTTATCACGTGGTAACTGACACAAGCAAATGAGGAGTTCTCTCGTAGCTGGTAGATTATAATAAAATTCACTCTCGTGTTGAGTGAGGAATTTTTTTTAAGATGATAAAAGTGTGCAAAAGGTTTCAAATATTTTTTTGTTTCATCACTTCAGAACTTATTAAGAGGATGAGATCTTGGTTGAAATTGAATTCATAAATACAGCCGTAAGGATTCAATCGATAAAACTTGCAGTCACTTTTCTGAGTTTCAGAAAAGCACTTGTATTACTAGAAGTTGAAAGAGCTCTGAAAAAAATTTCTGTTTGGCTGAGAAATCGATATAACATGAGGAGTTCAAGTTTAAGGGTATTTCTGATTGTTTTTTGGCAGTAATGAATGGGTTTGAAATACCGTTAAAAATGATTTTAACTTCTTGCAGCTTAAGCTTCTGGTTCGTCGGGATGGGCTTTTGAGGGGGTATTGTTGCAAGCTTTTAATCCTTTGAAAATTGGATGGAGATAGATTAAAAATGAGTTTTTTTCATTACTTTCCTGATTACTCATATAGAAGACCATTCTACAGTAAACTTTTTTCGATTGAAAGATTCATTTCAGTTAATTTTTTTGTTTTCAGGGCCGATTTTAGTGAAAGTTTTTTGAAAGATTATCTTCTTCTTCTTCTTCTTTTTTTTTTTTTTTTTTTTTTT